CGTGATTATGGCAAGGTTGCATGTTACAAGGTTAATATACGAAAGTCAATTGCTTTTATATGTGTCAGCTATGAGCAAGTAGAATTTTGAATTAAAAACACAATTCAGTTTATGTAGCACAAAAAATGAAATGCATAGGTATAAATCTTAAAAAATAAGTACAAGATATATATGAGAGAAACTACAAAACTCTGATAAGCAAAATCAAGGAACTAAACAAATGGAGAGATATTCCATGCTCATGGATAGGAAGACGTAAAATTTTCAAGATGTCAGTTATTCCCGACTTGATCTATATATTCAATGAAAGCCTAATCAAAATCCCAGAAAGTTATTTTGTGGATATCAACAAACTGATTCTAAAGTTTATGTGGGAAAACAAAAGACCCAGAATAGCCAACACAATGATGAAGAAGAACCATGTTGGAAGACTGATGCTACCCAACTTCAAGACTTCTTATAAAGCTACAGTAATCAAGACAGTGTGGTGTTGGCCAAAGAATAGACAAATCAACGGTACAGAATAGAGAAGCCAGAAGTAGACCCACATAAATATAGTCAAGTGATCTTTGACAAAAGAGCAAAGAAAGTACAGTGCAGTAAGAAAATCTCTTCAACAAATGGTGCCAGAGAAACTGGACATCCACACGCAAAAAAAAAATTATTCTAGACACAGACCTTACACCCTTCACAAAAATTAACTCAGAACAGATCAAAGACCTAAAGGTAAAATGCAAAACTGTACAACTCTTATAAGATCATACGGGAGAAAACCTAGATGGCCTTGGGTCTGATGATAGCTTTTTAGTTACAACACCAAAGGCAGGATCCATTAAAAAATAATTGATAAGATGGAATTCATTAAAATTTTTTTAAAAACTTCTGCTCTGTAAAAACAATGCCAAGAGAATGAGAGGAAGACAACCCACAGACAGAGGAGAAAATATTTATAAAAGACACATCTGATAAAGGACTGTTATTCAAAATATACAAAGAATTCTTAAGACTGAACAATAAGAAAACAAACAATCTGATTAAAAAATGAGCCAAGACCTTACCAGACACATCACTAAACATAATATTCACATGGCAAAGAATCATAAGAAAATGCCCCACATTAGACATCATTATGGAAATACAAATTCAAGCAACGATGAGGTACCAATACACACCTATTAGGATGACTAAAATCCAGAACACTGACAGTAGCTAATGCTGGCTAAGATATGGAACAACAGGAACTCACATTCATTGATGATTGGAATGCAAAATGGTATAACCACTTTGGAAGACAATTGGTGATTTCTTATGAAACAAAGCCAACACTTATCCTACAGTCCAGCAATTGTGCTCCTCGGGTACTTACCCAAAGGATTTGAAAACATATGTCCACACCAAAATCTGCACACAGATATTTAGAATAGCTTTATTTATAATTGCCAAAACTTGAAAGCACCAAGATGTCCTTCAGTAGGTTAATGGATTTATAAACTGTGGTACATCCGGATAATGGAATATTACTCAGCACTAAAAATAAATGAGTTATCAAGCCATGAGAAGACATAGAGGAATCTTAAATGCATATTACTAAGTGGAAGAAGCCAATCACAGTAGGCTACATGCTGCATGATTTCAACTACACAATATTCAGGGAAAGGCAAACTATGAACACTAAAAAGATCAGTGGTTGCAAGCAGTTGGGAGTGGGGAGGGGAGGGATGAATAAGCAGAGCACAGAGAATTTTTTGTACAAGTGAAAATACTCTGTACAATTCTATAATGATGCACACATATTATACATTTGTACAAACCTATAGAATGTAAAAATACCAAGAGTGAATCTTAATGTAAACTATGGAATTTGGGTGATTACAATGGGTCCATGTAGGTTCATCGATTGTAACAAATGTACCACTCTGGTGATGTTGATAATGGGTGAGTCTATGCATGCACGAGGGCAGGGGATAAATGGAAACTCTGTACCTTACACTCAATTTTTCTGTAAACCTAAAACCTCCCTAAAAATATAGCCTTTAATTAAAAAGATTTTTAAAAAGGAATGAAATCCTGTCATGCTACTAACTGGATGAATCTTGAGGACATTATGCTAAGTGAAATATGGCAATCACAGAAAGACAAATACTGTATGATTCTACTTAATGAAGTATCTACAGTAGTGCAACTCATAGAGAAAGTGGAATGGTGTCTACCAGTGGCTGGTGGGAGGGGGAAATGAGGACTTATTTAATGTGTATAGAATTTTAGTTTTGCAAGATAAAGAGTTCTGGAGATTGGTTGCATAACAATATGAATGTACTTAATACCACTAAACTGTATAAGTAGAAATGGCGAAGATATTAATTTTTATGTTGTGCATATTTTACCAATTACAAAAGGAAGGAAATTCTTATATACTGCTACAACATGGATGAACCTTGAAGACATTATTCTAAGGGAAATAAGCTATACACGAAAAGACAAATGTACGGATTACACTGATATGAGGTACTTAGAGTAGTTCAACTCATAAAACAGAAAGTAGAATGGTGGTGTTTAGGGACCGGGGGAGGGATAAATGGGGAATTATTGCTTAACGGTTTCAGTTTAGGAAGAGTTTCAGTTTGGGGAGATGAAAAAGTTCTGGAGATGGATGGTGGTGATGGTCGCACACTAAGTATATGAGAATGTACACTTAAAATTGGTTAAAGTGGTAAATTTTATATAATGCATATTTTAGTGCCATAAAAAAACCCTTTGGTAAAAAGTCTAAATTCTGTAATATGATTTACATAACTCCTTACGGTCTCTTCTAGCTATCTCTCTTGTCTGATTTCACACCACTCCATCTACTTTCTATTTTAGCTAAATTGTCTTTTAATTTGTCAAATAGGCAATGTTATTTCATCTTTGGGATTTCACATTGTTGTTCTCTCTGAATGACACCCTTTTCCCCCTTCTCCTTATTTGCCTAATTACTATTCATCATTTATAGTAAACATATGTTACTTTTTAATCTGCCCTGTGTCCCTTCCTATGGGGAATTGTCTCTCCCTGATTCAGTATGTATGACTCTGGTCAGACTGTCAATCAAGGAGCCTCACCTTCATCTGCATAGTGTGGGGATATAATCTTAGACTGGCCAGTCAGAGGACCTACTATGGTGGGTAGTGATTAGTCTATAAATTGGTATGTGTTCCAAGAAAGGTCAAACTGAGTACTTTATGGGCAGTTCTGAGTGTGTGAGCTTAATTTAATGTAATCCTGAAGGTGCTGGGGTGCCATCTTTCTCAATATGAAGAAAGAGACTTGCTGAAAATGAAGTAAGCAAAGGAAAGCTGAACTGAGAGATAGGGAGAGATAAGGAGAGATCTCTGAGGGTAACTTGAGTACATGGGTCCAGCCATTCCTTATAACTTGTTTAATGATCTGCCCTCCCTGTTAGACCATAAGCTACACTGACTGCTATCTTACCTACTGTTATATTCCAAGTACTTGGTATAGCATTTATTGTAAATATTTAATCAATATGCTTTGAAAGATTGAATTATGTTTGTCTATGGAATTATGCCCATTCCACAATAATGTAAACAGAGTGGGCCCTCTATATCTACAGGATCTGCCACCACAGATTCTAACTGTGGAGCAAAAGACCTACGATGGTTATGTCATCCTGAACAATACAGACATTTTTCCTTGTAATTGTTCCCTAAGAACTACAATATAACAACTATTTACATAACGTTTACGTTGTATTAGTTATTGTAAGTAATTTAGAGATGATTTAAAGTATACAGGAGAATGCGTGTAGGTTATATACAAACACTACTCCATTTTATATAAAGGGACTCAAGCATCCATGGATTTCAGTATCCACTGGGACTCCTGGAAACAATCCCCTGTGAATATCAAGGGACAACTGTACTCATCAAAGTATTCTTATAACATTTTTGTGACTTGATGCCTTCCATTTAAATTTATGGTATGGGGTTGGCCCAGTGAGGCAGCAGTTAAGTTGGCACATTCCACTTCTCGGCAACCTGGGTTCACCGGTTCAGATCCCAGGTGCGGACATGGCACCACTTGGCAAAAGCCATGCTGTGGTAGGCGTCACATGTATAAAGTAGAGGAAGATGGGCATGGATGCTAGCTCGGGGCCAGTCTTCCTCAGCACAGAGAAGGATTGGCAGTAGTTAGCTCAGGGCTAATCTTCCTCAAAAAATAAACAAACAAACAAATAAATAAATAAATAAATTTATGGTATGTGAGGAGAGATCTAATTTGTTATTTTTTGATATGATCAGTCAGATGTTCTTAACACAATTTGATGAATGATTCAGTCCTTCCCCACTAATCTGAAATGCCACCTTTAAATTCTTATATAAGCTTGCAGCCATTTCTGGGTTTTATATTCTGTTACATGACTTGTGTACATATTTCTATGCCAGTAATGCATTGTTTTATTTACTGTAATTTTGTTAAATTATTTAATGTCTGTAAAGATCTGAGCAAAATTAACTTTAAATTTTTTCTCTAATTTCTGAACAATTCATGAACTATGTGAATATTGAAAGTTGCTGACTGAAATTTTCCCTCTCTTCTTGCATTTTTAATCATAATTTATATAATTTTTAATTAAGATATCCCATTTAATATAGAACATTTTATAAGTAAAGTGGAAAATTACAAATAACAAGCACATCAGCCATCTTGACCAGGAAAATAGTTAAGAGGTAGAAGAATAAGGGATACCATAGAAGAGATAGGTACATACCATAGGAAAATTGACAATAAAGTGAAGAGAAAGTGCTGGGAACATATTTCCCAGATTTTATGCCTTACCCTCTCCCCACTTTCCTGATATTTTCACACTACAAAGAATGGGTGGATGGCCATTTGTAGGAAGAAGGTACCAATTTTAGTAATATTTTATATTTGGTATTATTATGAAACATGTACTGAAAATTCACAATCTACTAGATAGTAGTCATATAGAACTAATACAGCAATGAGAGATAAAATTTATTGGAACCATAATGGATTTATAGGAAGTCAAGGTTATACAGAAATGACTAGGTGTCACCAAAGGAGAGCACTGATCTGTTGCTTCAGGACCATCTCACAGGAGTTATTTGCTTTGGTGAGTTCACCATGATCCAAGCCATAGCCTTCAATCTTAGAGGTACACAGCCTGACCTTGGTCATGTCCCAGAAATCATCCAAATGCAGGAGGTGAAATTATGCTGATTATATCATAATACTGAAAGATATAAAAAGAGAAGGACAATATATTAATTTATATTGAAAAATGCTATTATCATATACATCAGACATGTCTGTTGAGAAGATAACACCCCTTTTCCTTCTAAGCAAGATTACTAGTGAAGCACAATTATTAGTTTTCCTTCATAAACATCAAATCAAAGTTATGGGATGTTGATAACTGGCATCTAGCTTTCTACATGATGTATTTGCCTGAACAATGAAGATTTGTGTCATATAGACCAGATGTTTCCATCACCCTAAGCACTTTTCCCTGAGAAAAGTGCTGGGATGTGTACCTCTGTGTATTCTGTTTATCTAGGCTTCCATGATAGATCAACTGGTCCCATTCTGTGCCTAGTACACATCAACACATTGTTATAGTCGTTAGAAAATCTATTTTTATTTACTTACACAAAAAATACATGAATAGAGTGATGTCAGCATCATGGTGGAGTGAGCTTGCCTGGGACTCTCTCCCCTCCGACATACAACAAAAAGGAGCAACCATATTACAACGGAAAACATCCTAATAGCACAGGAATCCTGGGAGAGTCACAGCAGTCAAAGAATGGAGGGTGGAGAGGCTGGAGCCCCCCTCAGAGGAGCTGGAATGGGGTAAGAGGGAACTTCACTCCCTCCCCTAAAGACTGGGATCACTGCTGTGGGATGCTCTGTGAGGGAAGGAGTGGGGGAGGGGTCTTACATCTGCAGGACCACCCAGCACTCCCTAGCACCCATGCAGCCTAGAGGAAAGCCCTATAACAGGGTGAAAGCTTTTGTGTAGGTTGACTTCATCAAGCCAAGACCCCAGGAGACCAGATAGTGAGAGCTGATTGGGAAACTCAGATCTGCATGTAAGAGAAAGCACACCCCCAACCCTGATTGTGCCACGCCATCTTGGCTGAAGGTGGAAGGCTCAGAATATGTGGCTCTCAACACCCATCTAGTGGCAATAGGCTGTAACAGCAACCGAATAATATCACAATGGAGAAAACTCATAGTTCCAGCATCAAGCAGTTCATCAAAGCTCCACACCAGAGGGAAAACAATAAATACTCAGAATTATGTCCTGAGGACTCAGAAATAAGTAAACTGAATGGCAATGAATTCAGAATAGCTATCGTCAAAAAACTTAATGAGGTAAAAGAATATAGAGAAACAATTCAACAAGTTCAGAAATTGCTTCACACAAGAGGTTGAAACTATAAAGAATAAGCAATCAGAAATACTGGAGATGAAAGACACAATGGAAGAGATAAAACAAAATATGGATTCCCTGAATGCTCATGTGGACACCATAGAGGAGTTAATCAGCATATCGAAGATAGATATGTTGAATTGCTCCAGACGGGAGGAGAGACAACTGAGACTAAAAGAAATGAAGATGGTCTCCAAGAAATATCCAACTCAATGACGAAATGCAACATAAGAGTTATAGGTATTCAGGAAGGTGAAGAGAAGGAGAATGGAAGAGAAAGTGTGCTTAAAGTAATAATAGCAGAGAATTTCCCAAATCTAGAGAATAAGACAGAAATGTGTGTGAAGGAAGCTTTTAGATCTCCTATATTTGTCAATGTAAAAAGACCTACTGTAAGGCATATAATACTAAAACTGGCAAAAATGAATGACAAAGAAAGAATACTCAGGGCAGCAAGGCAGAAGAAAATAACCTAAAGAGGAACCCCATCAGACTTTCAGCAGATTTCTCTGCAGAAACCTTACAAGCTAGGAGAGAATGGAATGACATATTCAAAACCTTAAGAGATAAAAATTTTCAGCCAAGAATACTCTATTCAACAAAAATATCCTTCAGATATGAGGGAGAAATTAAATCTTTCCCAGACAAATGCTCAGACACTTTGTAGCCATGAGAGCCCCCCTACAAGAAATCCTCAAGAAGACCCTCATACCTGAAAAAAGAAAAAAGGGGAGAAAGTGGTCACAAAACACAGAGTAAAGAGACAGATAAAATCAGAATAGGATAGCAAATATTCAACTATAGCATTAGTATAAAGGGAAGGAAAACACCAAAAACAAAGACAATCTTGTCAATTTAACCACAAACTCACAACACAAGTTGGAATAAGATATGAAAATAATAACTTAGGGGAGGAGGAAAGGGACTGAATCAGTTTAGACTGAGGAAATAAGAGGCCCTCAGAAAATGGACTATGTTGTGCACGAGATTCTGAATACAAACTTCAGGGTAGCCAGTAAACTAAAAAGCAGAACAGAGACACAAAAAATAAATGAGGAAAAAACTAAGAAACACAGCATAAAAAACTACGTAATTCAATGATTATCCCAAAAGACAAACGACGAGAAACAAAAGAAATGCAGGAAAACTGGAAAGTGAGTGACAGAATGACAGCATTAAGGCGTCATACAATAATAATCACCCTCAATGTAAATGGATTGAACTTTACAATAAAAAGACACAGAGTGGCAAGATGGATTAAAGAACAAGATCCAACAATTTGTTGCCTTCAGGAAGCACATCTCAGCTCCAATGAGAAATACAGGCTCAGAGTGAAGGGGCGGAAGATGATACTCCAAGTTAATGGCAAACAAAAGAAAACAGGTGTTGCAATACTTATATCAGACAAAGTAGATTTTAAGATAAGGCAGAAAAAGAGAGACAAAGAGGGGCAATATATAATGATTAAAGGGAAACTACATCAAGAAGAAATAACACATAAATATCTATGCACCCAACACAGGAGCACCGAAGTTCATAAAGCAACTATTAATAAACCTAAAAGGAGATGGAAAAATGACAAAATAATACTAGGGGATCTAACACCCCACTCGCATCATTGGACAGATCATCCAGACAGAAAATCAACAAGAAAACAGTGGAATTGAATGAAAAGCTAAAATAGTTGGACTTAATAGACATATATAGAACAGTCCTTCCAAAAACAGCAGAATACACATTCTTCTCAAGTGCACATGGAACATTCTCAAGAATAGACCATATGTTGTGAAACAAGGCAAGCCTCTATAAATTATAAAAAATTGAAATACTAACAAGCATCTTCTCTGATCATAATGCTATAAAGCTAGAAAGTAATTACAAGAAAAAAGCTGAGAAAGGGACAAAGATGAGGAGACTAAACAATATGCTATTGAAAAAGCAATGGATCATTGAAGAAATTTAAGAAGAAATAAAAAAACATCTGGAGACAAATGGAAATGATAACATGCCATACCAACTCATATGGGATACAGCAAAAGCTGTATTAAGAGGGAAATTCATTGCAATACAGGCACATCTTAACAAACAAGAAAAATTCCAAATAATCAATCTCAAATTACAGCTAACTGAATTAGAGCAAGAAGCACAAACAAAGCCCAAAGTCAGCAGAAGAGAAATAATAAAAATGAGAGCAGAAATAAGGACTATTGAAACAAAAAAGGCAGTAGAAAGGATCAATGAAACAAAGAGCTGGTTCTTTGAGAAGATAAATAAAATAGACAAACCCCTAGACAGACTTACAAAGAAAGAATGAGAGAAAGTTCACATAAACAAAATTAGCAATGAAAGAGGAGAAATAACAGATTCCACAAAAATACAACAGATTATAAGAGAGTACTATGAAAAACTATATGCCAACAAAATGGATAACCTAGAGGAAATGGATAAATTTTTAGACTCTTACAATCTCCCAAAGCTAAGTCAAGAAGAAGCAGACAATCTGAACAGACCAATCACATGGAAAGAGATTGAAACCGCAGTTAATACCATCCCAAAGAATAAAACCCCAGGACCAGACGGCTTTCCTGGGGAATTCTACCAAACTTTCAGAGAGGATTTAATACGTATAATTTTCAAGGTATTCCAAAAAATTAGGGAGGATAGAACACTTCCTAACACATTCTATGAGGCCAACATCACTCTGATATCAAAGCCTGACAAGGACAGCATGACAAAGGAGAACTACAGGCCAATATTGCTGATGAACATAGATGCAAAAATTCTAAACAAAATTTTGGCAACCCGAATTCAGCAATACATCAAAAGGGTCACACGTCACGATCAAGTGTGATTCATACCAAGGACAGGCATATTTCAACATCTGCAACTGAATCAATGTGATACACCACATCAATAAAACTGAGGAATAAAAACCACATGATCATCTCAATAGATACAGAGAAAGCATTTGACACAATCCAACAGCCATTTGTGATAAAAAAAACTCTTAAGAAAATGGGGATAGAAGGAAATTACCTCAAGACAATAAAGGCCATATATGACAAACCCATAGCCAACATCATACTCAATGGGCAAAAACTGAGCGCCACCCCCCTGAGAACAGGAACAAGACAAGGATGCCCTCTATCAGCACTCTTATTCAACATAATACTGGAGGTTTTGGCCAGAACAATTAGGCAAGAGAAAGGAAGAAAAGGAATCCAAATAGGGAGAGAAGAATTGAAACTTTTGCTGTTTGCAGAAGACATGATCTTATATATAGAAAACCCCAAAGAATGCATTGGAAAACTTTTACAAATAATCAACAGCTACAGCAAAGTTGCAGGGTATAAAATCAACTTATATAAATCAGTAGCATTTCTATACTCTAATGACAAACTAACAGAAAAAGAACTCAAGAACACAATACCATTCACAACTGCAACAAAAAAGAATAAAATACCTTCAGGTGAATTTAATTAATGAATGAAAAGACTTATACAAGGAAAAGTACAAGACTTTCCTGAAAGAATTTGATGATGACATAAAGAGGTGGAAATACATTCCATGCACCTGGATTGGAAGAATAAACATAGTTAAAATGTCCATACTACCTAAAGCAATCTACAGATCAGATTCAATGCCATCCCAATCACAATCCCAATGACATTCTTTACAGAACTAGAACAAAGACTCCTAAAATTCATATGGGACAACAAAAGATCCTGAATTCCTAAAGCAATCCTGAGAAAAAAGAACAAAACTGGAGGCATCACAGTCCCTGACTTCAAAACACA